AAGGACATAGTCAACAAGACAAAAAGACAGTCCACAGAATGGGAAATTATATTAAATAACCCCATATCTGACAGAGGGCTGATCTCCAAAATTTACAGCGAACTCAAGAAGCAAGTCTCCAAAACACCAAAAGATGAAATTAAAAGGTGGGCTACAGAACTAAATAGAGAATTCTCAATAGAGGAGTCTAAAATGGCTGAGAGACACTTGAGAAAGTGCTCAACATCCTTAGCCATCAGGGAAATGCAAATCAAAACAACTCTGAGATACCATCTTACTCTTGTCAGAATGGCTAAAATCAAAAAACACTGAAGACAATTTATGCTGGAGAGGATGTGGAGAGGAGAACACTCCTCCACTGCTGGTGGGAGTGCCAACTCGTACACCCACTCTGGAAATCAGTATGGAGATTCCTCAGGAAAATGGGAAACAGTCTACCACAAGATCCAGCAATTCCACTCTTAGGCATATACCCAAAAAAAGCAAGTTCATACAACAAGGACATCTGTTCCACTATGTTCAGAGCAGCATTATTTGTAATAGCCAGAACCCAGAAGCAACCTAGATGCCCCTCAACTGAAGAGTGGATGGAGAAAATATGACACACTTACACCATGGAGTATTAAGATTCAGCAGAAAAAAAGTGGAATCTTGAAATTCGCAGGCAAGTGGATGGCACTAAAAGAAACCATCCACCGGGCGGTGGTGGCACACGCCTTTAATCCCAGCACTCGGGAGGCAGAGGCAGGCGGATCTCTGTGAGTTCGAGGCCAGGCTGGACCGACAGCCTCCAAAACAATACAGAGAAACCCTGTCTCGTAAAACCAAAAAAAAAAAAAAAAAAAAAAAAAGAAACCATCCTGAGTGAGGTAACCCAGTCACAAAAAGACAAACATGGTATGTACTCACTCATATATGGATTTTAGACAGAGTAAAGGATTACCAACCTGCAATCTGCACTGCCAGAGAAGCTAGGAAACAAGGAGGACCCTAAGAGAGACATGCATGTTCCCCCAGAAAAGGGGAAAGGTACAAAATCTCCTGAGCTAATTGGGAACATGGGGGGGGAGGGAGAGGGGGCTAGGAGAAAGAGAAGGGGAGAAGAGCAGGGGAGAGGAGGACATGAGGTAGTAGGAGGATTGAGTCAGGGGAATAACAGAGGAGAGCACGAAAAGAAATACCTTAATAGAGGGAGCCATTATAGGTATAAGAGAGATCTGGTACTAGGGAAATGCTCAGAGGCCTACAAGTATGACACCAACTAATAATCTAAGCAATAGTGGAGAGGCTGCCTTAAATGCCCTTCTCCAATAGTGAGCTTGATGACTGCCTTATATGACATTGTAGAGCCTTCATCTAGTAGCTGATGGATGCAGAAACAGACACCCATAGCTAAACACTAAGCTGAACTCCTGGAATCCGGTTGCAGAGAGGGAGTGATAAGCAAAGAGTCAAGACCAGGCTGGAGAAACCCACAAAAACAGCTGACCTGAACAAGGGGAGCTCATGGACTCCAGTCTGATAGCTGGGAAACCAGCATAGGACAGACCCAGACCCCCTGAATGAGCATGTCATTTTGGAGGTCTGGTTAATCTATGGGACCTCTGGTAGTAGATCAATACTTATCCCTAGTACATGAATGGATTTTGGGAGTTCACTTCACATAGAGGGATACTCTCTCAGCCTAGACACAGGAGGGAGTGTCTAGGCCCTGCTCCAAATGATATGACAAACTTTTGAGATCCACCATAGAAGGCCTCACCCTCCCTGGGGAGCAGAAAGGGAATGGGATAGGAGATGGGTGGGGGATGGGGCGGAGTGGGGGAGAGGGAACTTGGATTGACATGTAAAACAAGCTTCATGTACTAAAAAGAAAAACTCTCATTCAAGAGCATCAAAAACCTCAACATAAAATCAGAGACATTGGACCTAATAGATGAGAAATTTGGGAATATCCATTAACTCTTTGGCATAGGAAAAGAACTTCTGAACAGAACTCTGTTAACAGTTAGGCACTAAGATCAACACATAAAAAACAGAACCTCATGAAACTGAAAAGCTTCTGTAAGGCAAAGGACACCATCAATCAGATAAATTGTAAGTCCACAGAATGCAAAAATATTGTTTCAAACTCCACATCTAATAGAGGACTAATATGCAAAATATGTAGAGAACTTAAGAAATTACACAGCAAAAAAGAAACTAATTTTAAAATAGAGTACAGATCAGAAAAGACAATTCTGAATAGAGGAATCTCAAATGGCTCAGAAACCCTTAAAACGTTCAACATCTTTAGCCATCAGGAAAATGCAAATCAAAATGACTCTGAGATGCCATCTTACACCTGTCTGAATGGCTAAGATCGGAAACACAAGCTGTAGCTCATGTTGGAGTGGATGTGACCTAAGGGAAACACTCCTCCATTACTGCTGGGCTGTAAACCTGTACAGCCACTATGGTAATCAATATGGTAGCTCCTCAGAAAATTGAGAATACATCTACCTCAGGACCCTACTATACCACACTTAAAGCATATGCCCAAAAGGCACTCCATTCTACCACAGTTGCTAAACCATGTTCATTTTGTCTTTATTCATAATAGCCAAAATGTGGAAACAACCAAGATACTCCTTAAAAGAAGAAAGGATAAGCAAGATATGGTGCATTTACACAATGGAGCATTACTTAAATGTTTAAAAACAGGACATCATGAAATTTGCATGCAAATGGATGAACTAGGATCTGCAGAAATTGAGCTGGTATTCACCTGAAAGTCTTTTTCCTGAGGACTAATTGTATCAGAAGGCGCTATAGCTATATATATAGTTTATATATAAACTGTCATGGGAGAAAAAACAATCAATTTTCTTACTTGGTTGTAAAGTCTGAAAACACAACTGTGACTGGCCCAGCAAGATATCCTCAATGGTGTACTAGTGACACTATTATCTTGGGGATAGTCAATAACTTTCTAATTAAAGTCTGCTCAATAGGAGGGAGCTCATGCCTGGTACTGTAAACCTAGTCAACCACATGTTACTGGAGAGAAAATAGACCCTAGAGGAGTACCTACCACTGCTATTTCCCTAAATCAATATAGCTTCTAAGAGTATTCCAAACACTTATCCTTATACCCAGAGTTACACTTTGCTCTCACCCCTCATCAAAGAAGTTTCTTTGTGCAGCAGATGGAGGTTACTACAGAGATTCACAACTTGTCAAAACACAGAAAGTGGGTGTCTATGGTGTTCCCCGCCACAGTTAGTATAGCTACAAAACGATCCCTACCTCAAAGGATCTGGAAAGATCAAGGAAGGGGAGGCAGAAAGATTGAAACAACCTATGCAAGGCAGAGCCTTCTAGGCATGACAGGGATACTGCTCCCCTCTAATCTCAACTGTATGTCTGCCTAAAAAGACCTGAATAATGACAAGGTTACCCAGTTCCTTGTCTGGTGGGGGATGTCCTTCTCTATGCTGAGAATATATGTTTCTCTTTATTTGTTGATGAATAAAGCTGTTTCAGCCAATGGACAGGCAGGATGTAGCCAGGCAGGAAGTATAATCTGGGTTACCAGCCCAGGAGAATTCTGGGGAGAGGAAGGCAGAGAGTGGGTTGAGAGAGAGAGAGAGACCCATGTAGCTGCCAAGGCAGAAAGAGACCTGGACATCACCCAGTAAGCCAAAACCATGTAGACATATGTAAACTAATAGAAGCGGGTTATAATTAAGATAGAGTTAGCCAATAAGAAGACTAAGCCATTGGCCAAACAGTTTATAATTAGTTTAAGCCTCTGTATGTTAATTTGGGACTAAACGGCTGTGGGACCAGGTGGAACAGAAATTTCCATTTACACTTGTCGTTTTTAGTAGCTTTAAACATGTGTACATATGTACAACACTAAATGGACACACTGCATTGTGTGTGTGTGTATATATATATAAAACAAGAATATTCTCTGAATAATTGTAAAGTCATTAGAGTTGTGAAAATTAAGATTTCTATGGCAAGAAACTAACAGGCAGTCTCTAAGAGGGAAAAAAATTACATCCTAAATTTTATCATTAACATTAGAGAATTGAGTCTCCCCAATCTGCAGAACCCAAAATCTAATATTCTCCAAATTCAGGACTTTTCCAGTGTCAACAAACTATCACAAGGAAAATTCTGTAATGGCTTCTTACAGAATTTGTAGTAAAAATTGTCTTTAAGGTACATATGAAACATAAATGAATTTCAAATGTGGACATAGATCCCATCCTCAAAATAGGTTGCTATGTATGTATAAATATCTCAAAATCCAAAGGAAAAATTGAAATCTAAATGCCTGTTGTCCCAAGTACCTCAGATAAGGATGCACAACTTGTGCTAGTCTGATGGCATTGCTTGCTCCTCTGGAGAATGTCCTTCGAGATATGAAGGCAGATCGCGTTGCTCGTCTCCACAACAACGTTTCAAAGCTCGTGAAAATCTCCGGTCAAGACCAACAAGAGCCCCAGTCATCTGCACTGCCCTGTCCCGTATACCACAAGGTTCTTCTCCATCCTCATCTGCTTCCCCGCATGGCACACACATGAACACACGCACAGGCATGCGCACGTGTGCATGCTCCTTCCTTCCCACCAATGCTGATGTTACTATGTTTTAAGACCGCCAGGCTTTGCTCGGGCTGATCTCTCCTCCTACAGATTTCTTTGGGATTCATTCCTTCCATAACTTTAGTCAAACATCCCTTTCCCTAACCATCTTATTTAAAATCACCGATCTCTTTTCACGGTTTCGCCTCTAGTCTCAGTCACCGTGGCATTCTGTCCTTGGTCATTTGCTTCATCGGCTGTTGGGTCTGCACACACTCATTTGCTACGGTCCACGTTCCACAGAGCATCTCAACAGGCAATTTATATATGTTGGCCTTGTTAGATTTGTACAATGACTCTGAAATGGAGATTCTTTGTCTCTTAATAATAAGGAAACAAACTAAAGGGACCTAAGCAACTTACCCGCGACTATCAGCGTTTGAAGAGGGAGCATTAAAACTCAGTTCTGATAAAATAAGGTGCATTCGGTGTGATAGTCCCATCACAGTGAGTCGTGGATCAAGGAGGAGCCCATACGCCCTGCCTCTTCGTGATGAAGTATATTGACCGCTGAGAGAGAACAGCCGCTAGCTGCCCACCAGGCTCTAACAGCAAGACCCAAACGCAAAGTCACAGAGATGATCCTGGTTAAAATCGGTGGGTCTCAAAATAAAAAAGAAAAGACATGAATTTTGAAAAATTATGGGAAGGAGTAAGATTAATAGGGGTAAGAGGAACATTAGAGCAGGCAGGGGATAATCAAATGTGCTTGGCAAAGCACAAATTCAGTTTTTTAAAAAAAATTTCGCTTCCGTCAAACATCATGATCCATTATTTTCCACTGTGACCCAGGACCATCCCTGGTGGGACAGAGCATGCCGACAGACACCCTAACTACAGACCTCTGTCACTCTAATCCCTTTGTTGGATTTAAGTGGTAGGTTCCTCGAGGTACCCTACAGACACTGTAACCTTGAAAAGGGAAGAATCTCGAGCGAGTGGTGTTCTATATTTTTGGAATTGGATTAGAAGGCAAACAGAAGGATAGTTCATACTATGAGCATTCAGCATAGGTGTAAGTACTCGGGCATTATGCTGGCCTGCCCTGTCACCTGGCAGAATGCACTCAGGCAGTACCCTGGTCAGCCCAGGGTTCCATGACTACTAGTCTGCACACAGATGCAAAGGACCCGTTTAAAAGAAAGACCCCAGCCCACTTACCCTCTCTTCTGTCCTCTCTCTGTCTCTGTGTCTCTTTACCTCTTTTCTTACCTCTGCCTCAATAAAACTTTCAATATGAGTCATGTCTACAGGTTTCTGTTCCCCCATCCACCTGTGTCCATCACCCGCAGGGGCCTCAGTCTTCATGGTCCCAGCGTGGACCCACCATCTGCAGTCCCAACTCACCCCACATTGTTCATAACAATAGGGACACGCAGCGTATGCAGTAGAAAATTCAGGATTACAGACCCAAGGATTCGGTGTCATGCTCCATCAACTTTCCACTTTCCCGAGAGACATGTTAGAGATAATTTCAAAACAAGCGAATCGTACTTCTTTTCTCAATCATAGATTGCCAACTGACAGTGATACTTCTATTGATGACTACTGCTTCCACTGCAAATTTGAATCCGAGGAGTGTAGAGTATTAATCTGAAAATCCTCAATGCCCAGCCCATAAAAGAAATTAAAAAAAACTCGATGAACATTTGCTGGTTGAGTGAATGAAGTGAATAAATGAATGATGATACTAGAGCTAGGAGGAACTGAGAAAGGGTAACTCTACTAAACAGCAATACAGTTTCTTAAAGGACCCTTTTATCTTTTCTCCTGACTTGAAACATAGACAGAACTATCTTAAATAACGCTATTGCTATGGGATTTTAAAGTGATTACTGCATATCACAATAAGTAATGTTCCAATTTAGAGCTGTGGGTGATTGGTTCAATATGGAACGGCAGTGAATACTAAGAAAAGTGTCTGAAATCCAGTAGCTTATTGGTTAAATATTGGTTTAATTTAAATCTGAATCTTAATCCAGGCATCCCCCCCTCCTCAGGCAGCCCCTTTTAAGCTCTCTATTGTATGGCAGTATTTGCATCTGTGTCTGTGTACTATATTACACCATAAATACTGGAAATCAGGGACTGTGGCTTATTCTTAAAAATAAAAACAACGCTGTGGAGTTAGTGGGCATTCACACAGTATTGATTTACTTTCTCCCTAGCCACTCCCATTTACTATAGTAAATGAAGGCATGTTTTTTTTCCTATAGAGGCTCAGTTGTGACAACTACTTTAGGCTCATATCAAAATGGAAGGGAGCATATCTATAAATACCTGGACAACCAGTCAAAGAGCTTCACATCAGACATACTACTTGGCCATCTGATGGACCATGTATAAGAAAATAATTATCATCGTTCCTCTAATAAAGCCATGATGATTTGACATGCATTGGCCACATACAATTCATCAATCCTGGTCCCAATATATTTACATACATCAGTTCACCTAGTCCCAACACCAGCTTCACTAATCTACAATGACTATTGCTCATTTGCTGGATGAGCAAATTAGGGTGAAAACCCTTAGCAAATCTGAAGTCACCCTAAGTGTAAAAGAGGACAGAGGACAGGAGTGGGTTGTACCAGCTCAGAACCTCTGATCTTAACATTACATTTACTACATTTCTTTATTCCAAGATTATCTTTGGTCTATTGACTGTCTCTATTCACTCTGATTATCTTTTATTGCAACAAGCATTAGACTTTGATAGATAGTCTTCCAGTGTGGGGTCTGGCTCTTTGTAGGAGTTGAGAGAGTTGATTTTTGATTGCCCTGCATGGTCCTATCACTTACAGTAATAATTACAAAAGTAAAAGTGTAATAAAGTGGGAGGTTTTAAGCCATATTTTATGAGTCACACATGAGCTTTAAAAAGCTGCCATTTTATTATTTCCTTTAGAGATACTTAATAGGTAATGTCAGTAGTAAAGTTTAGTGCCCAACCAGCACTTAATATTCCTTTCCCCTAGAATGATCAGCCCTCTTAAAGGAAACATGGAGATGTGAGTGTGTGTGTGTGTGTGTGTGTGTGTGTGTGTGTGTGTGTGTGTGTCCATGCTCATCTCACTGGGCCAAACCTGTAGTGTGAAGGAGTTGGGATTAAAATGTTGTAACAACTGTACAAATTGAGCCACCAGAAAAGCTGCACAAAAAAAGGAACCAGAATGAGGATATTATCCAGAAAATTAAAATTGTATGTGGCTGTGCTTACAGCATGTACCACCTGGAAGAAATGGCCCTAAATTGTAGACGCAGCATGAAACACGCACAGCTGAGTTGGTTAGTTTCACATTAACTCATACTATCTGACCTCCTCTGACATAGTTCAACATCTAAACATTTTTCATTTCCCTCTAATAAACTAAACATCCCTTCACCTTGGTCCAGCTGGGTTTCCAATAACTCCTCTTAGACCCAAAGCTGGGTTCCTAAAGCTGTTGGTCAGCTGAATTCTTTCTAGTCCTTGTCTTCTGCTTCAATTCTGATTCTCATTTTGTATTTTCTACAAAAGAAGAATATATGATTATGCTTGGGTGTTACTGGAAGTAGTTTTTTCAGCTTAAAAGTCATATTACCACAGAGGCTATTTATCGTTTCTCAACACCATCAACCCAAATCTATAATACTCACTGGAGCACTCCCAGAATTTGCCCACATGGAGTAACTGGCACAGTTGATGCTTCACACTATCTAAAGACTTGACAGGTTCTATCAAAATTTTCATTACATATTCAAGATATTTCTTTAGAGATATATTTAGACTTGCTTTATGCTCTTGGCAATTTTGGTATATTGCTATTACTAAGGATCTTTTATATCCTTTTCTATGAAAGCCTGTTAAGTGTGCTGTGTATCTATGGCTTACGTTTTGGTGGTTATTTTCTTGGCATGTACTATGACATCCATTATGCCACCCTATATCTTTCTTTATATTTTATATCTGACTTAGAATGTTTTAAATTCAATCTGAACATCCTTGCTATTAGTGGTATAATCTATCTATGTCATCATTTTTGTCAACTAGACATAAACCTAGACATACCTGGGAAGAGGGAATCTCATTTGTGAAAAATGCCTCCATCAGATTGGACTGTAGGCACATCTGTGTAGCATTTTATTGATTGTTGATTGATGTGGGAGGGCTCAATCCACTGTGGAGCTTATGGCCCCTAAGCAGGTGGGTATGGGACCAATAAGAAAGGCAACTAGGCAAGCCAGGGGAAGCAAGCCAGTAAGCAGCACTCCTCTGTGGTCTCTGCTTCAGTTCCTGCCTCCGGTACTGTTTTCAGTTCCTGTCCTGACCTATCCTATGCTAGACTGGAAGTTGTAATCTGGAAGAAACCCTTTTCTTCTGACTTGATTTTGCGTTTGGTATTTCATTACAGCAGCAGAAAGCAAGTAAGAACAATTGCTTCTCAGCCCTGTCTTATTTGACACAGTGTGGAACTTTTAACCTTTGTTTTCTAGGCATTAACTCACGGTCCTGCATTTTCCAATTTCATGGTGCAATGTGCCATGGTTGCCATTCAATTCAAAGCATTTTATTACCCAAGTCCTTTCCTTATTTAATTCATTGAATACTGACAACTATTTTTCTTTATTTCCCAAATGAAGAGACATTAGTTATCTCTGTAGAATTGATTGACAGGCCAAGGTCCCCATAATACCCTGGTGGGAGGTAAGGTATTTGTATCTATTTATGGGGTCTAATATTATAATTTCCACATGCCTATAATATGGAATGGTCAAATTACTTACCCCCTCTATCTCCTCAAATATTATCATCTCTGTGTGATAGGAACTTCCAACCTCTTCCTCTTCTAGCTATTCTGAAATGTGTGATTGGTATTGCAGTCAATAAGTAACACCCTGTGCTACAGAATATTAAACTCACCTTCCTCCTCTGTGCATTGGTACCCATTAGTCATCATTTTCTACTCTCCTCCCCATGTCGTTCTTAGTGACTTCTGTCTATTCTCTGCTTCTCTCTGACCAACCATTTTATCATCCTTTAAAAGTGAGAAGGTGGTGATTGATAGGTGGATTGTGACTGTTTTGTTTGTACTTGTCCCATCCTTAATTTGCTTGCTTGCTTGTTGCTTGGTCTGTATGGACCTATCCTACATACCACCTCAGAATCTCTTGCCCTGTCTGTCCTTTATTTCTCTGGTTGCTATAGTAATATCTATGTAGACTCAATCCAAACTTGTGCAGGTGTAACCTTGCAGTACCTTGCCTCACCCTGTGACACATGCTCCTCATTTTCTTTCCTAGATCTAGCTGCCTGGTCAAGCCATAGCTTGGGACGCCACTCATAAAAGCGTAACAGAGAAAAAGCATCAATGAATAAATGCTTGTTTGCTTTCTATCTGTCTTTCTTGGAAGACAGGCATGGAAGTTACTTGTCAGATACATCCCTGATATTGGACTAAGCAACCAATTACGTGCAGCAGTGAAAAGAGAAAGACATAGAAGAGAGGTATAAATTAAAAGATACTGAATCCTTACCTTTTAAAAGTCACTTTCAGTGGGCAAGTTTTGACATAACTTTATAAACCAGGGAAAATAACAATTACTTACCTCACCAATATTAAATACATAACAAAGAAAAATCCATATTTTTAGCTTTATATACCAGGGAAAATAATAGTTACTAACCTCACCAATATTAAATACATAATACAGACAAACCCGTATTTTTTACATTTTTATTTAAAGTACCACTTTACTATGAACATACATTATCCATTATTGGTACTATGTCAGTGGTAATAAGTGATTTCCATAATTTTAAGATGATTTTAACCTGGACAAAAGCAAAATTATTTATATGCTAATAACAGTGGATTTGCCTTGAAATTATTCCACTTCTCTGCCAGTTTATTTCACAAATATTTACTGGCATTCTTTTCCACTGATGCTTCCGTCCTGAAGTTAGTTCACTTCCAGATCTGTTGGGTAAACTATGTAATGTCACCAATTGTTGAATATCTCTCAGCCTGTTTTCCCTTTACAAAGGAAAATGATGAGGATCACAGCATCAACAGCAAGCTGGCACGAACATTGTGAAGCCTGCTGCTTCTTCCCACACATCCACACAGTGTGCTGCTGAGGACAGGAACTATCGAATCCTGGGTTACTCCTGTTCAGATCCTTCTCGGGTGCTTCCCACAAGATGGTTCTAGAAAGTGCTTGAATCATAACTGAGAAGGATTTGCGGTTTGGGGTGACACACTCCTCACAGGCTGCTTTGGCTGGACTTGTCGGCTCTGATGGCTAAGGTCATCAGAAGAAACTGAGGTGCCGGATCTCAACCCTCCAGGGTTGTGCTGAGATGGACAGCACACACTCCTGGGAGGGAATGATCACCCAGATTCAAGAACTGAGTCACTCCAAGGGAACATTACTTGGAGTTAATGCCAAGAGTAGACACTTGCCTTGGCCTGCTCCAACGGTGTGAAATGCACACACTTCCCTTCATCGAGGAAAAGCAGGCGGCTCCTCTGTGCATGAGAAAAATCGCTCAACAACTCCCTGTTGACCCCTGTCTAAGGCTGAAGTTGATGCAAAATTTTCCATTTTTCTGGTTTTATCTCTTTTTTTATGGCTGGGATATGCTACCTAGATCTTTGTACTGCTCGTATTAATGCAGTCTCTAAGCACAAGTGAAAATTCATTCTCTGATCCCAAAAGAGGCAATAACTACTTTAAAGAATTTCTCTCCACCAATTCTTTCTCCTAGGGAATCCAGCTGACAGGCCTGAGTTATTTCAGATGGTTTAGATACAGGGTTTTATGCACACATTTGTTTTTATATATACTCATAGGTGTTCTCACATATCTTTCACCTCTTTCAAAATTTAGGAGGAATAAAAACACGAGCCTTGAGTAAATCACACAAGATCTACAGTCTGTCAGACTCATCCTTTGTTCAGCTATGCCTGTTTTCCATTCCCTTCTCTGTCTGGTCTGTTTTATTCCATTTGAAGAGGTCGGAGCATGTCTCTTCAGTCTGCACTCCAAGGACCTTGTACTCTTGTTGTTTAACCTGGGAAAAGAATCTGAGAACAAGCCTCCTCGGGGACCTGAGAATCACCAGAGCAAACTCCAGGAAGGGGAGCAAAGTGGGAGGAAGAGACCAAGAGGAACTTCACTTCATCCCCAAGAAACGTGTTTACACCTAAGGCAATAAGTCCAGACCATTCTTCGGCTTTCCAGGCGGGCTTCATACGGGCTTACAGGATGAAAGAGTGCATTGCAGCTGTCAGATTATTTACCAAATAAAACAGCACTCAGCCAGAGAATGAAGGAACAGCTCCGGTAGTGTTGCCTCGCCTCGGTAGTAACTGCACTGTGTGGTATCAATCACATCCCTTCATAATTTTAATTTTTAAATGGAGCAATAATTTTACATGGTATAAAAATATCACCATGTTTAACATTTCCTATTTGTCCTGACATTTTTATTATTCTAAACATAAAACAGTTTATATGTAAATTGCCACATGCTCTTAAGTTAAACCAATAGAACATTGTCTGGGGGAAGAAAAACCTCATTGTTTTGTTGTGAATGTGTATAACAACCCACTGCACAAGCAGTTCAAGAAAATTATAGAAAAGTGACACATAGACATAGCAAGAAAACTTTGGGCATGACTCAACTGGGTCATGAATTCTGTTCATGCTTGGTTCTGGTTGTGTTCCAGTAATTAGCATGTTCTGTTTAGAATAAGCAACACCAGCTAATTGTCCCAGTCAGAGTTACTATTGCTATGATAAAACACCATGACCAAAGCAACTTGGAGAGAACAGGGTTTATCTGGTTTATACGTCCACATCAGTGTTCATCACTGAAGGCAGTCAGGACAGGACTTCAAGCAGGGCAGAGACCTGGAGGCAGGAGCTAATGTAAAGACCATATGGGGAGTGCTACTTACTGACTTGCTGCCCATGGCTTGCTCAGCCTTTCTTATAATATCCAGGACTACCAGCCCAGGGGTGGCCACACCTGCAATTGGCTGGGCCCTCCCCCGTCAATCACTAGTTAAGAAAATGCCATACAGGCTTGCATACAGCCTTTTCTCAATTGAGCATCTCATATCTCAAATGACTCTAGCCTGGGTCAAGTTGACATAAAATAGCCAGCACAGTACTGAAACATTAATCTTTTATTTCTAATTTACAGAGTGAATGCAGGCTGTGTGCTTTCCATTGCTGTAACAAACACCCGGGTAAGCAGCTCAGAAAGAGGAAGTCTTATTCTTGACCATGGCTTCATAGGTTTCAGTTCACTATGGACTGTCCTTATTGCTTTGGGGCTTGTTACACATCGAAGTAGCAACACAGGACAAAAAAACTCACTTCATGGTGGAGATGAAAATAAGAAAAGTGAAACCATTAGGGGGTGGGGTCTTTATCTTCTCTTCAAGGACACATCCTGGATGAGTGGAGGACTGTCATCTAAAAAGTTCTATGTCTTCCCAGTAGGGCTACTGGCTGGGAGCCTTTGGGGTATACATCCAAACTATGCACCTTACATGGGTAGAGATCGTGTATTTTACTATTATGTTACTGTCTCGGTTTTAAAACATACACATACATACAAACATACACACACTCATATACCTAGACACAGTGTAAGCACCAAATATATACTTTGATATTTACCACAATTGTGTTCAAAGACAATTTACTTTTCTATTTAAATTAGAAACATGCTTGCTTCACATGTCAATCCCAGCTCCCTCTCCCTCCCCTCCTCCTCCAGCCCCACTAGCTCCCCTAGCCCCCCCACCCCATCCACCCTCCACTCCCCAGGGAGGGTGAGGCCCTCCATGGGGATTTCCAAAGTCTGTCATTTCATCCTGGGCAGAGCGTAGGCCCTCCCCCCATGTGTCCAGACTGAGAGAGCATCCATCCATGTGGAATGGGCTGCCAAATTCCATTTGTGTGCCAGGGATAAATACTGATCTACTACCTGAGGACCCATAGATTGCCAAGGCCTCCTCACTCACGCCCACGTTCAGGGGGTCTGGATCAGTTCCATGCTGTCCTCTCAATCACCAGTCTGGGGTCCATCCATGAGCTCTACCTTGTTCAGGTCAGCTGCTTCTGTGTGTTTCACCGGCCCGGTCTTGACTCCTTAGCTCATCACTCCTCTCTCTGCAACTGGATTCCAGAGTTCAGCTCAGAGTTTAGCTGTGGATGTTTGCCTCTGCTTTCATCAGTCACTAAATGAAGATTCTAGGATGGCATATAAGGAAGTAGTCAAAATCATTATCAGGGACGGACATTTAAGGTAGCCGTTCCACTATTGCTTAGATTGCTAGTTGGTGTCATCCTTGTAGATCTCTGGGAATCTCACTAGTGCCAGATCTCTTCTCAAACCTACAGTGGCTACCTCTATTATGGCATCTCTCATCCTGTTTTCCTCTATTCTTTCCCCGACTCAAGCTTCCTGCTCCCCCATGCACTCCCCTCCCTCTCCTCACAGCTCCCTCTCCCCTCCCACCATGCTCCCAATCCACTCAGGAGATCCCATCCCATTCCTCTTCTCCTGGGTACCATGTATACCTCTCTAAGAGTCCTCCCTGTTTCCCAGACTCTCTGATGGTGGGACTGTAGGCTGGCACTCCCCTGATCCATGTCTAAAATCTACATGTGAGTGAGTACATACCATATTTGTCTTTTTGTGACTTGGTTACCTCACTCAGGATAGTTTCTTCTAGTGCCATACATTTGCCTGCAAATTTCAAATTCCATTGTTTTTTCTGCTGAGTAGTACTCCATTGTGTAAATGCACCACATTTTCTCTATCTACTCTTCAGTTGAAGGGCATCTAGGTTGCTTCCAGGTTCTGGCTATTACAAATAATGCTGCTATGAACATAGTTGAACAGATGTCTTTATTGTGTGAGTGTGCTTCTTTTGGGTATATGCCTAAGAGTAGAATGCTGTGTCTTTTGGTATATTGATTCCCATTTTCCTGAGGAATCTCCATACTGATTTCCAAAGTGACTGTACAAGTTGGCACTCCCACCAGCAGTGGAGGAGTGTTCCCCTTTCTCCACATCCTCTCCAGCATAAACTGTCATTGGTGTTTTTGATTTTAGTCATTCTGACAGGAGCAAGATGGTATCTCAGAGTTGTTTCATTTGCATTTCCCTCATGGATAAGGATGTTAAGCACTTTCTTAAGTGTCTATCAGCCATTTTATACTCCTCTATTAAGAATTCTCTATTTAGTTCTGTACCCCACTTTTTTATGTCTTTTTTATTTAAATTAGAAACAAGGTTGCTTCACATGTCAGTCCCAGCTCCCTCTCCCTCCCCTCCTGCCACACCTTCCCACCACCCCTTCAGTCCCCACCCAATCCCCACTCCATTTCCCAGGGAGAGTGAGGCCCTCTATGGGGATATCCAGAGTCTGTCATTTCATTCATGGCAGGGCCTAGGCCCTCCTCCCAAGAGTCCAGGCTGAGAGGGCATCCCTCATTGTGGGATTTGTATGCCAGGGATAAATACTGATCTACTACCCAAGGCTCCATAGATTACCTAGGCCTCCTCACTGACACCCACATTCAGGGGGTCTAGATCAGTCCCATGCTTTCCACACAGCCATCAATCTGGGGTCCTCTTAAGAGCTCCCCCTTTTTCAGGTCAGCTGTTTCTGTGCGTTAAACAAGCCCAGTCTTGACCCCTATGCTCATCACTCCTCCCTTTCTGTCACTGGGTTCCAGGAGTTCAATTCAGTGTTTAGCTGTGGGTGTCTGCCTCTGCTTCCATCAGTCATTGTGGACCACACTTTTTAATTGAATCCTTTGGTGTTTTGAAGACTTGCTTCTTGAGTTCTTTGTAAATTTTGGAGATCAGCTCTCTGTCAGATGTGACTATTGTTTTATCCTGTTGACTGTGTCCTTTACCTCACAGAAGTTTCTCAGTTTCAGGCGGTCCCATTTATTAATTGTCCATCTCAGTATTTGTGCTACTGGTGTTATGTTCAGGAAGCAGTCTCCTGTGCCAATTTGTTCAAGGGTACTTCCCACTTTCTCTTCTAAGAGGTTCAGTGTGGCTGGATTTGTGTTGAGGTCTTTGATCCATTTGGACTTAAGTTTTGTGCATTGTGATAGATATGGATCTATCTGCAGCAAAGAGAATTTTCTATAAGATAAAATTAAACTTCAATTTGTTTATCACTAAAGCTGTCATGATCAAGTTTTTCCCCTGCAAGAAAGATTGCTGTATACAAAAGTTCACAAACAGCCATTTTCATTTAATTATATAGTTATTATACACTTTATTCTATTACTAAACATTCTGGAGTACTTTTAAGTAAATTGAGTACACAATAGAAAAATTGTACAACATGAATTTTTATTAAGAGATTTTGGAGAAAGTGCCTATTTAAGATGAAACAAGAGTAGAGGGGGCGGTGCAACATGAAGAAACAATTACATGATCCCAGGAGGAGGTCATGTCACTGAGCATGTATTCACTCACTCCTTGATTACTTAGAAGTGCCTCCTGAAGATCAGGGTCTCCCCTTGACCTTGGATGTATGAATGTGAATAAACCAGTGATTCCCTGGTTCTCATGGAACTTACATGCCAAAAGTGAAGAAAGTAAAATGACCAATCAAATAGTTGAATAACATCCAGTAGTGATAAGTACTATGAAGGAACGAGGCAGCACAATGGGACACCTAGGCAGGGTATGAAACAAACTGCTTTCCACTCTTCACATCCCACCTACCTACTGTGTGGAGAATGAGTTACAGGAAGCACTGTGGAAACAGGAGCAGTCAGCATGGAAGCAGAAGCAGTCCATACTCTATTATAAAAAAGAAATAAAGATAGCAGTCAGCACTCTATTATAAAAAAGAAATAAGGATAGCTTTACCTACAGTGTAAATCAAAGTGCTAAAAAGGAGCTAGAAATTGCATTTCTTTTGAAGATAAAAAAAAAACCAAACTTTTCTAATGGAGTATCAAACAAAGGCATGAAGAATGATTTAAAGGCTTGAAAAGAAATATTGTGTGAGCTAGACATGGTAGCACATACCTATAATCCCAGCACTCTGGAGACAGAGGCAGTGAAATCTCAAGTTTGAAGACAGAGTGAGCTACCCAGTGAGATTCTGTCACAAAAGTGTGTGTATGTGGTGTAGCTCAGAGGTAGACCAGTTGCCCAGCATATACAAGGCCCTTGATTTAGTCCCCAGCATGATAAACATATGATGAAAAGAACATTGCATAAATGAAGGATTATAACATTAATGCATAAAATGTAATATATTTATGATAAATTATTCATTGTATGTAATTTATATAATGCATTAATTATAATATATGACAAACACATAATAAATAAATAATGTGTTAGGATATATACATATGTTTTGTATATTAACATTAATTTGCATAACTGAGGGCCAACAAAATGACTCAGTAGGTAAAGGCAGGTGACACAAAAATAACTAATATAAGAGGTGAAGAAAAGGAAAACTACATTAGTATAATATTAATACTATAAAATTTAAATGTATGTCATCATATTATATGATAACATGCAATATGATATGTTTATAAACTTATAAATGTATAAATTGATATATAATGATAGGTATATACTCATCCAGAAAGAAAAACAACATTTGAAATTCCAAATATTGATAGGCCTAGTGGCTGTAATTCCAACTACCAATTTGCCTGAGCTACACAGTGAGTTCCTGGTCAGCTTCAAAAACTTAGTAAGGCCTTAGTAAGAACCTGTCTCAAAAACTACAGAGCACCTTTTTCAAAAGTAGAAATATATAATGTAAGCAGCAAATTTTCATTTTCAAGACATGATAGGTAGGCTATTCTGGAAATTCTGTCATGTGTGATCATTGTACAGATCTTGGTGACTGACCAAGCATGCCATTTGGTAGTCTACATGTCTCCAAATCTCTAATACTGGCCTTCACTATCTTACTCTTAATGAGCTCTATCTTTTGTATTATGTGAGTCCAATATGATTGTGAAAATCATGATGTAACTGTCCTAAGAAACAGTGACGTGACTGCATTGATTTGGGCAAGAGGGTTGGCAAGAGCAATAGCTTCACCTACCATCGTGGTAAGTCTGTGGAGGTTTCTGAAATTGATACATTTCAAATTGATTCTATCAATTTAAAGAAATAGTCATAGAAGCATATTACCTAGAAATACACAGGAAAATACCACAGGAAACAAATGATGTGGATGTAAAAAGATGCCTATAGGAAGCAGGGTTGAGGAGAAAGAGAAGGATAGTGGCTGGCTTCTCTTCAATAGTATATACCCAGTAACCATTTAGTTGAATTAGTGTACATCTGCACTTCTTAAATTTGGGTCATGCAGATCATTCTGAAATTTATACTTTGACTTTCAAACCATGGAATTTAGAACAGGAAAATTTCTATATTCTAAGTAACATGCCCATATCTTCAAAAATTGACACATGACAATGTCAGTCCCAAGTCAAGTTTACATGTCATTAAAGCTATCAGTTAAAGAAAAATGTCAGCATTTCAACAAAAGCAATAATATAAACACAAAAGTTATCAAACAGAACTCAACCAAAAAAACTTATTTGTATGAGTCAATGTAGCCTAAACTAGTGCCCTTGGGTTGGAGCTCACTAACATTAGCACAAAAATGAAGTAGTCAATAGGCTCTTTGTCTGGAATATCATTCCCTTGCATTTGAAAACATAAAGTGCTTTTTTTGTGTCTTAGAAGTAATCAAAGCAACCTACATTTAGAGTCTGGGAAACACCTGACAGTTCGTCTCATAAAGATAAAACTCCATCCTGATGCTTCATTCTCCTTGGATCTTCTGGGGAGGGGGGTTGTTTTGTTTGCTTTTTTGTTCAGGATGCTAAACAGCACTGAAAATTGATAACAAATCAAGCCAGCCTAGTTTACAGTCTCTAAGTTAGCTGACATTACATTAAACAGATGATCAACCATCAAAATTACTACAGCAGTGTTTATTTTCCAGATCATATTTTGTAGTCTTTGAAATGTCAAATACGCTCTCCCACTGAGCAGCAAATGCAGATCTACATATGCAAGGCTGTCATCAGCCACGGGAGGATTGAAGGCAAATTTATAAGAATTCATTACAGACTTCATCCTTCCTAAAACTCTGATTAAGCAAGGGCCTGACAAGCTGCCTGGTTCTGGCGGATTGGGGTTATTGATTATTGACACAAGAATGTGAGTTTCTGAATGTCTGACCAAAGGAGCTCACAGCTGCAGAGTGTGGCTTCCAGATACAATACACTCACTGGAGTACGGTGTATCTAGATTAACACTGTACACTGACTTCTGATCTGAGGAAAGCTGAGAACTATCACCTGCTTAGGTGTTCCTGTTGTTTCATTAAGGAGCCAAAGAATGCCTGCATGCAGTGATACACAGCTGCAATTTCAGCACCAGGGAAGATGAGACAGGAGAAAGAAGAGTTCCAGGCAAGCCTGAGAAACCTGAGACCCTGTGTCAAGCAAACATGGTTGTTAATGGATCTGAAAGACAGCGTGGTGATGCATGCCTATCATCTCAGAAGTTAGGAGGTAGAAACAGAAAGATTGCTACAAATCTGAGGTAATCCTCAAAGAAGAAGAAAGTAAAAAATGAACTAGGCATGGTGGCACATACCTATAATCTTGATACCAGGAGGCTAAGAAAGGAAGACAGTTGTCAGTTCGAAGATGACCGGTGCTATGTAGTGGGTTTGTGGCCAGCCTAATAAAATTTTGAAAATATGATTAAAAAAAATTAAAAGAAAGGGGGGAAGAAGGAAGTAGGGTGAATGGAAGGAAAATGGAAGGAAGGAAGGAGGGAGGGAGAGAGGGAGGAAGGAAGGAAGGAAGAAGAGAAGGAAGGAAGGAAGGAAGGGACAGAAGAAAGGAAGGAAGGGAGGGAAAGGAGGAGGGAGGAAGGAAGGAAGGAAGGGAGGGTGTAATTATATCACTAGACCCAAGATAAATGATAAATGGGTGTTTATTGGGAAACAATTACACAGAAAAAATACAAAGAACTGCCAAAGCGTTTCCCTGTTCTCCCTGCTGGATCCGCTGACTTGCCAGAAAGAGCAAGCCAAGGAAAGCTATTCCTCAAGATCTTCTCTTTCTGCTTCCATCTGTCTGAGGCCATGCCCAAAGAGGTGTGGCCATTGTTACAAGTTCACTGACAAGATGTCTTCAATTCCCCTTTTAGTCTAAAGAAGAAGGTCTTAAGCTTGATGCAAAAACTATATACAATGATAACAAATGTCACGTATATTCCAGGAAAAGGCAAGGTAAACATACAGAAGTTAGCACCTACTACCAGCAAGAGCAACACCGAGCAATAGATATATAATACATGTTCAGTGTATATGTCCAGTATCAGGATGAAGGCATGACAGAGAATACTCTGATGCCAGCCCTAATCTAGAAAGTCTAAATCTAAGGCATAAGAGGATATTGCTATGACTCTCTTGTCTTCAACATCATCAAAGACCTGAGAAGGAAAATAACAAAACTAGGAAGAGCAAGCATGTGACTCCCAAAGGTGCAAGTGAAGACAGAATCAGCAGGCTACCTGAACCGTCACCCAAGGTCTCACAGCAACATTGGGAAGTCAACTTTGGCCAAGGCCTAAAGTATCAGATGGACCATCTCAGAAGCAGGGAAATTGAAAAACTGTCTTACCGTGACTTGGCAAGGTTCTGCAGTTCTCCTTTAAGTTTATCTCCTGCAAGCTCAGATGGGACAGCATGTCCAAGGTCAGCAGTCGAGGTGGGGGCAGTTTTTTGCTCAAGAGGCCAGTAACCAAGAAGAGAATGAACTCCAGATGGAGTGTCATCAGTGCCTCAAGTCAACAGAGTACTGATAATAAAACATTTAAATGCCATATTCTGCATGTCTTTGAAATATTTGAAGATCAAATATCTATGTCTGAATAACCTCATAGGTATAATAAGCATGGGTAACTATAATCTGTAATTCTCAGAAACATAGTTGCTCAATGGCTGAAGCAAAATAATTTAGCAACGATACTGACTTCAAAAATATAACTACACACATATACATGTATATATATATATACATCAGATAGAACTCAAATGTCTTGACTACAGGTAGAACTGTAAAGTGCAATTTGATAAAATATGCTAAGTTGCATCAATATACAAAATATATACATAATGATAGCTTTATATTTATATGCAAAACATCATAAACAGAAAGACGACACTATTCAGTCAACATACAAGAATCTAACAATTTATCTATAGCTAACAGTTGCTAAAACTAGTTCACAAGAAGATACGTCAGTCTACCTATATCCCATCTTAACCATACCCTTCCCATCCAGACCCTTAAACTTATCTAAAAGAGATACCCGAGTCTAATCATCACTTTCCATACCGAACCCTACACAACTTAAAACCAACCCTAAGCAGGTGATAAGGAAGAAAGGAAGGAAGGGAGGGAGGGGTGAAGGAGGGAGGAAGATATCTTGCTTTTAGTTTCTCTGTCTGCTAGAGAAATTAACTTTCCACATTATTTATTTGTATATCTTCTTTTAAAAACTGACTCCAAAACTCAGTCCATTTATTTTATGTACAGCACAAAGAAGACTTAGCTTGTCTCAGTGGGAGGTCTCTCAGTAAATCAGACTCAGTTTTAGTCTTCTGGGCAGAGGAAGCTGTGGTTTCTGGTTTGTGTACACTGTGGTCAACCACCCATAGTACTTAGATGAGAGAAAATGTTTATTTAATCCTGGCACCTGGGAAGTAGAGGCAAGTAGACCTCTGGATATTC